AAATTATAGAGGACGTGAGTCAGACTCTAATAAAACGCATAAATAACTTCCAGTATATATATTTCTTATAACTTATTACTAGAGGGTTCAGAACTAGAGTCAATATCGATATCGCACGTGTAGACTGTAGAGATGATATCAGTACTCATGCCCCGTATCCGTTCTATCTCATTCTGTTGAATCTTGTGGAACTAGTTTAACGCGGCCAGGCATCGTCTTCCACAATACTTCCTTTTGTCAAAGGCAACTTAGATAGATATTTTTCTGCAGTTTTGCAATATTTTTTCTTTTCCTTTGTTCTATTACAAATAGCCATAAACTTTTTTTACTTCAAGAAAAATGGCATTAAAAATAAAAATGCAGTTAAAAACTCAAAAAAAGCCATGTCAGGCTAAAAGCTTGATGCTCAAACTGAACACTCCCCCATACTTTTTTTAATCGAGAAACTATAATGTGTAATGAGTCATTAATTTTGACCTTTTCTAAGCTTTTCTGGTCCAAAAAAATGACCCCCCCCTGGCAAATTCCAAACTACCTGCGTGCCAAAACAAAAGTATTATCTTTTTTAAACTAAAACATTTTTTATTTAGTAAGTTTTCCAGAGGGAAAATGTTTTTTAATCCATTCTTAAAATAGAATTTAAGTATCTTTACATACATTCTACATATAGAAGCTTCCCGCAACTTTCTAGGGTTGTTTCCCCCCTTTCCGTCTGCACTCTGCCCCTTAGCTGTCTCAGAGCCGTTTTACTTTCTTACAAGGCTTAATTTCCTTCCATTTTACAGTTTTATGAGTCCCACTGTATACAAGTTATGAATTTGAAATTGAAGAGTCAATAACCATTTACCGTCCACATCCTTAATTTTAATATTTCGTTATCTTGAGTATTTCCAAAATATTGTTTTTACTGTTGGATTAGCTCAAATTAAAAAATATGGTTTTTACTAAATAAAAACATCAAATTGATCATTTTTATCGAAACTTATGCTTAAATGAACTCGGGAATGCATGACAGGCTATCAAAGAATTGATTTAGAGAAAATCAAACAATTTTCAAGAAAACTTTTCTATAAAATGATGTTCCAGGGCCCAACAGGTTATACAGCACAAATGTGTGAAGTACACCTGAGCCCAAAACTTCAGACAGGGTATCATTATGGAAACCAGTTTTAAAACCCGGGTTTCATGAATGGGGTTAGGCAGTTTTGTGGATATCAATCTTTTTGTTATGAAATATTATTTTATTGATTTCCTTCATATTTTCCATTTTTTTAGAACCTCTTAAATCAAAATCTACACAAATGTTAAGACCCCCAAATGGAAACTTGGGAGTTTCGTTTCACCTAATACCCGAAAAACCTAGTGTTTTATGCATTCAAATTTTAATAGTAGGCGTATACAATTTTTAAAATTCATTTAATCTTTCTAAAATTTCTAATTTCTCTCGAAAAACGCAATTTAGAACCATAAACGATCCGAATTGATGTGGGACACCCTGTATTTTAAAAAAATCTGTAGCTCCACCTTTCTGGACATTATAAGAGTGTAAATTCAAATCTTTCCTTGGATGGGCCGACTATTACGCCAAAAAACGGATACCAATTTGATCACTTTCAAGTGCGTAGCAGCTTTATTCATAAAACACCACAGCTGGAGACTCCAACGACAGCATATTTTAACCCAGTTTCCTAGAGTTTCAAAATGTGTTTTAAGTACATTAAACCCGAACTCTGCCAAACCCGGGTTTCAGGAAACCGGGTATCGTAGCGAGTTTTATAATTTTCTTAAGTTTTGCACTCTGCAGTATGGACACAGTACAACAAAATGGCCGTTTTACACTTTTTTCAAGTAAATTGCATTCTAATATATTTTATTCCCTTTGCTTATGGGATTTTTCTTAAATAGATTTTCTCACAGAGATTGTTAATCTATTTGGATTTTCTCTGAGAGATTGCCAATCTATTTGGATTTTCTGAAAGAGATTGTCAATATATTTGGATTTTCTCACAGAGATTGTCAATCTTTTTGGATTTTCTCACAGAGATTGTCAATCTATTTGGATTTTCTCTGAGAGATTGTCAATCTATTTGGTTTTTCTCTGAGAGATTGTCAATCTATTTGGATTTTCTCTGAGAGATTTTCAATCTATTTGGATTTTCTCACGGAGATTGTCGATCTTTTTGCATTTCCTCACAGAGATTGTCAATCTTTTTGCCTTTCCTCACAGAGATTGTCAATCTATTTGGATTTTCTCATAGAGATTGTCAATCTTTTTGCCTTTTCTCACAGAGAATGTCAATCTATTTGGATTTTCTCACAGAGATTGTCAATCTTTTTGCCTTTTCTCACAGAGATTGTCAAGTTATTTGGATTTTCTCACAGAGATTGTCAATCTATTTGAATTTTCTCACAGAGATTGTCAATCTATTTGGATTTTCTCACAGAGATTGTCAATCTTTTTGGATTTTCTCTGACAGATTGTCAATCTTTTTGCCTTTTCTCACAGAGATTGTCAATCTATTTGGATTTTCTCACAGAGATTGTCAATCTTAAGAGTTTTTTAAAGTAATATGTTTCACCTGATAAACGAGAACACTGTATTATTAATAAATTACAATTTATTAAAAAAATATAATTGCAAATCAATCCAATGAAAATTATAAGGCTGGATTAAAAAGAAAGAGAAAAAGTTTCCCTGTAAGATTTCATTTTAAGACTAAGTTAGCTCTCCAGAAATGTTAACATATTTTTACTTTATTATGTGATAAATATCATCTTAATTCTTTTTTTTTATTCAAGAAATGTCACTTAATGTTTTGTTATTTATTGATTATAGCTATCCTAGGAAAATTCAGCATACTCTAAAACCAAATTTAAATTATTAAAAGTAAAGAATACAACTTGAATCCAACTGTTTTTTCATCACCTGAATCAGACGATTAACTAGGGGGGGGGGCACAATTTCGCCCCCTCTCAACATATTTATTCCCCTTCTTGCCCCCCCCCCTCACTCCACATTCAATATGTTGCACCATCTTTCGCCAAATTAATTTACCAATAAAGGAAAAAAATACCAAAGTTTTTTTATTATGCTTATCTTATCATTTCAAATAGAATTTCTTACAAATTCGTAATTCAACTTGAAGAAAGTCATGTAGCAAATATAAAGGCTTATAGTAAATTACGTTGTAAATTGTCCTTGAAGCTAAATGTGCCTTTTAATAAAAATGTAAATCATGTATTGTGATTAATCCATTCAATATATGTAGATATATATATAACTCTGTCATAACCATATTGTGATTGCTTAACTACGTTATATATATAACAACACATAACCTGTAATTAGGCTGTTAAGGGCCCAATTCTAATCCAAACTGGAGAAATATACCTTAGTTAATATAGAAACTCTGTACTGTTTCCTGCGAGAGAGTAAGCGTTCCTTGTTTTAATAAACAGGTTCAGTATTGTCACCTTTGATTTGGGATTGATAGTTGTGAGCTTCTGATCGATATTGATGGCTGACTAGATCATGCATAGTAGTAGTGGCGTTGATAGATCATGAGATTGTATCCGTGTGGATCCCTTTTTTTTATAAACAGGTTGAGGATCATCCCCTTTGATTTAAAATCGATTGTTGCGAGCTTCCGATTGAAATCCATAGCTAACAAGAAACACGAAACCTCTCTCAAATAAAGGAATTGATAATCACGCAACCTCAGATATAATTCTAATCTTCACGTTCTTGTGGGAGGGTGGACTATTCTAAAGATACATTTCTCTCTATACATCTAAGAAAATACAAATGTCTGCACATATAATAATATATAATATATAATATATATATAATATTCATTCATATTTCATATTTTTATTCAACTACAAAGCACGAGATATTACAAATAAAAAAATCACAATTTACTAAGTAGTTTGGCCCCGCCTAACCAGAGTAGGTTGTTTTAATTGGTTGGCCCACTATAAACGAATGAGAATTGCAAATAAAAACAATGTACATTGTACATTTTAAACATAAAAATGATGATAAATCAGGAAAAAGGTAAGGAGGAGGTGAGGGAGTATGAAGGAATAGGGTTTCTTCTTTTTAATTTGAATGATTTAGAACTATTCATAAGAAATATTTATTCTTCTTTATTTTCTTAATCATGAAGTTCAACTGAAAAAAAAACAATATTTACAAAATTATCATATATACATACATTTGTTAAGGATAATCTATATTCAAT